AAATCTTTTGGAAATGGATCTTCAAGTGAGTGGATGGAGCTTTTCCCTAGTTTATTTAATTATCCGGAACAAATACGGTTTGTTGCTGGTCTGAAACAGGTCTTGATGTCAGGTTTAGTCCTGCTTTTCATTTCTGCAGATACATCCTGAGGAATTCGGTTCCCTCAGATAAGTCTGGGAATAGGAGGAGTTTTGTTACAACGTCACTCAGTCCTTCAGGCCCTTCTGGTTTCCACGTGAGAAACTGTTACACTAACGATCAACGACCTCTCCGGAGAGCGGAGACGCACTGACGAAACCTTTCTTTTTCTCTCCCTTGGGGGGCGAGGCATGAGAGGGAGGCTGCGTGTTGTTCCGTGTTCCCTGGGGCTGGTTCCCGAGAAGGCCTCACGCCCTCCCCGCCTCACCCCACAGAGCCGATGATGGGCGCCCCGTCCCCCGCCAGCGAGCTCCAGCAGCCGCCGCCGCAGGCCTTGCACTACACCCTGGCCAACGCGCAGCAGGTGCAGATCCACCAGATCGGCGAGGACGGGCAGGTCCAAGTAGTATGTACCCTTCTCAATCGCGTCTCGGGCAGACGGGGGAGGCCGGGGGGCGGCTTCCACCGCGTTTCTGGGGCGCACGGCCGGCCGGGTGCAGCGCACGTACCTCCCTTAACGCAGAAGTACACGGCTGTGCGCTACGTTTCAGAGATGAGGGCGAAACCAGAAACCTCGCTGGGAAACAAATCTTACGTTTCCCCCGGGATGTTGCTGACGTTTCACTCACACCAGGCTCCCTGGGGCCTTGAAGGTGGCGCTTGTCGCCGAGCCTCTCTTGCCCGGGCCCCTCCTGGGCACGGGACCCTGCTCCGTGAGAAGGGGGTGCTGGCTCTCGTCTCATGCGGCCCCCGCACGTTGCCCGGAGGAGGGGAGGCTTGCGGAGAACGCGGGTGCTCGTAGGAGGGTTTTTTCCTCCTTCCAAAAAAGATGAGACAGCCATGAATAGTGAATTTAATAAGCTTATCAAATTTGTTTCACTGACATTCACAAAGGCAGCTCTTCTCATCTTGTTAGGAGGAAAGTTCTTTGAGGGAATTCCAGAATAGATAACTTTGCCATAGGGTTTACATAGAACATTCTATGGGAGTTTATTTTAAGACCCATTTGGACTAAGAATTTCAAATAAGATAATAAGTACTTCATTTGGCTAAGTTAAGGTTTATAGGAATTGTTCGTCTGCCTATATCTATAAACAAATGCATTTTAACTGGGTTCTTTGATTTTTTGGAACCACATTTATGACTGTTTACTCGAGCTATTTAAATAGTCACGTAAGTATTTCCTTGATTAAAGTGAGCTGGCTGCCCTGCCGTCGGCGCAGACGCACACACAGCCCCCGTTGCACGCGGCATGGGCCGCCTGCCCCAGCATTCCTGTCACGGGGAGACCCCCTGGTGTTTCTGCCAGGTTTCCAGTCCCTTCGAGCTGAACTTTAAGACGTCGTCATTCTGATTTTCTGTTCCCCTCTTTTCCATGTGCCATGCACATTCGTAAATTTATGTGTTTAGTACATTTAGAGATTTAACCCATTTCTCCTGGGACCCATTGCTCCTTTAAGAGTTACTTAGAATGTTCTGTGTGTGCTACACAGCCCCTCAGCCACGGTTGTACTTGTTGAGGTCTTAGTTACCTGTGATAAACTGTGGCCCAAAAAGTCAAGTGGAAAATTCCAGAAGTAAACAGTTTATCAGTTGTAAATGGCCTTGCTGTTGTGAGTGGTGTGATGTAGTCACTTATCATCCTGCTCTGTCCCTCCCGGGATGAGATGCGTCCCTTTGTCCTCGCCACACAGCGCGCATGTAGAGGGAGAGGCAGAGCACGCGTGCTCTGCACAGGGCTCGGGCATCCATTGTTGGGGTTCTTGGAATGTATCTGCTGGGGATGAGGGGGCACGGCTAGGCACGAGAAGTTTAGTTTGGAGAGGTGATTCAATAAGCTTGTACCATGCACATACCATATGCACAATTCAGCGATATAGCAGATAATCGAGAGCAAACGTTCCGGAAAATGTTTCTCGTTTCCTGTGGTTTTGATTGTCTTCTGATGCTCCTTTGTGTCTTTCTTGCTGCGGATCCCACAGGGACACCTCCACATCGCCCAGGTGCCTCAAGGGGAGCAGGTGCAGATCACGCAGGACAGCGAGGTGAGTGGCCCCGGGGCTGGGGCTGCCTCGGCTGGCACCGCGCCCGGCGCCCTGGGCTTCTCTCTGTGTCACCGCTCGGCAGGCCGCTGGGAGTCCCCGGGAACATGTCGCACTGGCGTGGTCGCAGGACGCCCGCCTCCAAGGGCGCAGGTCCGGGCTGCCCCCCTGTGCTGACCACCTGTCTCCACAGCCTCTCGCCTGTTTTCCTGAAGACTTTCTGGTCCTGCTGGGGGTGCCCTCAGAGTGCCCTTCTCCCCTGGGGAGACCCCTGCGTGGCAGAGGAGTGGTCGCACAGGTGGCCTCACACGCCTCCCTCCTCTCCGCCGGCCCGGCAGCGCACACGCGTCGTGCTGTGTGACGTGCATAGCTGCGGGCTCCCTCAGCGTGTCTCTGGGAGACGACGGACACGCCTGTTTCCAGGTGGTGACGGCACCAGCTTTTGCTAGTGTCTGTTGCAAAGACCCCAGGCGTCCCCCACACGGGACGCGGAGGCAGACAGAGCGCTGGCGGTGACGGGGAAGCTGTGGATTGTCACGGGGCCTCTCGGGAGTTCTCGCAGAGGAAGCGTGTGGCAGTTCCGGGCTGCTGGCTTTTTGGAGCTAGTTTTTGAAAGTTTCCTCGTGTTCCAGCAGCAGCGCCGGCTGCTTTTGTTACACGGATGTGACGTTAGGAAGAGCACAGCAGTCGTCAGAAGGGCGGCCCCGCAGCTCGGGCTCTGGCGGGGGACACGCCGACCAGGGGACAGCTCGGCCGAGGTTCCTCATGCTCCAGAGGCCGTGTCCCTCTTGTCAGGTTCTTAATTTGCTCGTAGTCACTTGAAGTGAAGGAAGATCGATCCAGTAGAGTCAAAGTCAACACACGTTTGCTTTTTATCGTTTATGCTAAAATCTTGAATTTTAATTTTTTTATTACCAATTTTGCCCTTTTTTTCCAATTTTCAAAACCGAACTCATCTTGTATACATAATTCAGTCTTTTTTTGTTTTTATTAGAAATTGAATGCAACAAATTAGAAGAAATTACAAGCAATTATTTTGTTGAAATGAGGATAGCTGCAGAGGGACATTTAGCACTCTGCCAGACCTAAGACAGCTCTTTTTCATGATTAGTGGAAATGAATTTCCACCCGGTGAGACCTTCGCGGCTCCTGGGCCAGTGGGTCGGCTGCCTCGTGTTGTGTCCCCGTCTGGGCCGTGTCGCTGCGGCACAACTGTGCGCGTCACCCCACCGGGGCGCTGGGCAGATGTGCACGGGACCTCTCTGCTCTACTTTATGTGCTTCTTACAAATCTAAAATTGTTTCAAAATAAAAAGTCAAAAAAAATGACACTTTCATTTGGGGTCAGGGTGCAGGTAATGGGTGCACTGTTTTTTTGAGTCGCTTTGTTTGTCTTTTTCAGAAAAAATAGTCCCTAGAAACTCAGTTGAAATATTTTGTTTTGGGGTCGAGTTTCTGTAGCTGTCCCGGTGGCGTGGCGGCCCCAGCCTCTGTCTGAGCCTGTCTTGGCGTGTTTGTCCCTGACTGTCTCCTCCTATCACCCCTTTGCAGGGCAACCTCCAGATCCATCACGTCGGACAGGACGGGCAGGTGAGTGTCCCCCTCTCGCTCCTCGCCTGGCCTTTGCTCACACACGGGGCTTCCTTTGGCGGGGGTGGCGGCTCTCACGGGAGGGGGCTTGGGGCCAGAGGGCCTCGCGGTGCCCGATCAAGCGGGGTGGGGCTTTGCGTTTGCTGCTTTGAGGCTTTTGCCTTAGGGAGGAAACTGCCCCCAGTTAGCTGTCATTTTCCGTACACTCATGCGACTGTCGTGGATGCTGTGTTTGCACCGACAGCTGCCTGTGCAAACAAGGTAGGTTTTGCGCCTGCGTGTTGCTGTGGGACTCTAGCCGCTCGCCTGCTTTCTAATCTGAGAGATAGAGAATTCGCACTGGACACAGCCACGGGAGCTGCCCGTGCAAAGGGAGGTGCCCCGGCCAGGAGGGTCCTCGCGGGGTTTGCCGACCAGGGTCCAGTGAAACTGCTGGTGGTTTCGTGGATTGACGTTTTCATGTCCTTTCAAAGACAGTTTCTGTTAAAGGGCTCGTCACTTCTGCGTCATGACCAAAAGGTGTGGGTGATCTTCGTAACTTGGGAAGTTGGTCATGAGAGCCGTAAAGGCGGCGCTCATGTGACAGCAAGATGATGACACCCGTCGTTTCCCAACACCGCGTGCGCGTTCCCTCTGAGAACCGTGTGTGCGTCCTGTGTCCCAGGCCAGGCCCGGCTGTGCCTGCCGAGACACGCCGGAGGCACCGGGGGGCGACGCCACTCACAGAGTCAGGGACACGGGAGGGCGGACGCGGCCTGGGTTTCCCCGATCCCTCAGGTGCGCCCAGGGAGAAGGGCCGCAGACCCTCTAGAATCTGTTCAAATCGGAGTTTCTTAGTTTGAAAGTTTCATCTTAAAGGTAAACGTGAGGTTTTAATCAGATAGTCCTGTAGCGTCGCTTATATATAAACACAAAATAGCTGCTTTGGAAAAGCGCCAAAGCCAGAGGAATGCAAAATCCAGAAAACTCCACGGTGGTTGCCTCGGCGCTTGCGCCGTGTCGGTGGCGCACGGCCAGCCCAGCCCAGCACGCGGCTCTCCCCACCCTTCTCTCGTGTGGCGCTCTCTGCTGGCTGGGACGGCGGGGGATGGGCCTCGTTAGGAGGTTGTCTCTGTTTTTGACGATTCGATGGTTTGTGTTATACTCGTAGTGGAGTTTTATCACAGTTAAGATGCGGCTGGACTTGAAGTCATGAGAAAAGTCAACGGTCCTTTGTTTCTGTCTATTCCTGGACAGAGTCCCCTTGGAATTTTAAAGACGTAGCCAGGTTTTTATACCGTGCTAGTGTAACGTTTGTGCTTGTGGGTAAAACTGTCCTCCCTGCCGCGGAGGCAGAGATTTCAGCGTTTACGAACAGGCAGGGCAGGTGCGTGGGCTCCGGCGCAGGTTCGAGTCCCAGGCACTCAGGGCTGGCACGGAAGGGCCACTGTCTGGAATCCTCCGGAGACTTGTCCTGAGGCCACTCACTCCCCCCATGCGCTGCGGCGGCTCCGGCAGCTCCTCCGCGGGCAGAGCCCACGTCCACCACCCCCTCGGGGCTCGTCACGTGGTCCGACCCTCCGAGCAGCCTCACTACAAGATAAAGCTGCCGTACGGATCGCTTTCTGTATTAAATGAGTCATAATTTATAAACCATCTGATTTTTTTCCCTGTGAAATCTCGTGCTTTCTTCCCACCTCCTGGTTCCCGTGATCGGTCGTTCCTGGGACGTCAGAGCAGAGACGGGGCTGAGGAAGGGCCGGTGCTGACACTGACGGCAGCTGCTTTGGAGGAGACGGCTTTCTGACCGAGATGGGCAGTGTGTGTTCACACGAGGCTGCCTTTTCCTGGAAGACCTGTTTAGCTAATCCCTGCTTCTTTTCCACTCGGGGAGATTCTACTTGTGTTTTGTCATTTGGCCGGTTCTCACTGCTGCTGCCCACACGGCTGCGTCGTCAGACCGGCCGGAGTTGGGGAGTAGAGTGGGTTTCGAAAGGAACCGAGTACCCACCGTCCTCGCCGTCACCGGCAGGGCTGGCTGAGCAGCACGGCCCATGCGGGGGGCACGTGGCCCCTTTCTCCCCCCAGCCCGGCCCCGCCCGCAGGAGGATGGGGCCGTGGGTCTGGGGCTCTTTCCCCTCAGCCAGACGCCACCTCCGTCCTCCATTGCGGACGCCAAGACAGCCCAGCCCCGTGCCGGAGCCTCTGCCACCGCAGCCAGCGTCCGTGCCGGTGTCCGACTCACCCAGACTCAGCAACGCGAGGCGCGTTCTGGTGTGCGCGGGGAAGGCGTTGCGTGGCCCCCTCAACACCGAGCGCAAGAACATGAGGAAATTTACACGACGGCATTCTTTAAGTTCTTGGATCCATGGCTGTTTCATCAGCCTGACCTTCTCACGCCGTAGGTTTGACTGTCACTCGGGAACGGGTGTGCGTCGACAAACTCGGAATCCTCCAGAACAGCCAGAACTGCTCTGGGTAGTCGGCCTGGCCCTGCCCTTCTCTGATCACCTGCTTCCGACGGTCAGGCCGGGGCCTGCGCCCCCGTCCCCGCTTTTCCTTTCCTGTGCTGACGTGACGTTGACCGCCGTTCCCTCGTGTTCTGGTAATGCTTCTGAGACGGCCGTTGCTGTTCCCGCCTGTCGTTGACGGGTCACGTTCTCCGTGGGCACAGCTTCTGTGAGAGAGCCGTTCACGGGCAAAGGGGGACAGGTGCTGTGTGCGAATTGTCTGCACTTCGCCGGCCGACTGCTCCGAGGTTACATCTGTCTCGGGCTCACTTTGACTTCTGTGCGGATATTGGGCTCTCCCAGTACCCAGCGTCGCTGGTTGGAGGAGGGAGGAGGAGGTGAAGGGACTCCTTGGAAGACTGAGCTTTAAACCGCAACGAGATCTTTTCAAACATGATTTTGAACCGTTTGGCTGGTTCATGAACGTTGTATGCCATCTGGCCACCACCGGCAGCAGGAACACACCCACTCCCAGTCCTGCCGCACCGTCCACACTGTCACCACCAAGGAGTCTGGTGAGGTCACAGGTCACAGGTTATGGTGACCTGTGTCCTGACCTGTCTCCCCATGTGGGACTGCAGTGACAGCACCTCCTCTGCCCGGTGCGTGGGTTTGTGGAGGGGGAGGTAACCGACAGTAGGAAGGCGTAAGGGGAGTCAGGGGTAAGTAAGCGGCACCGTCGGGCCTCACCGTGTGTGCCTGCGTGGCTGCTGGGCACAGAGCAGGAGCGCGGAGGTGCTTGGCGCTGCTTCGGGATGAAGGCTCCACGGCACAGAATTCGGGTTCGGCGGATTCAGGCTCAGTGAGTTGTGAATACTTTGTACCAGACTCTGTTGCTAGGTGACGCTGCATCTGTTGAGATGCTCCCACCTGGTCAATCATTTCTCTATGTTTGGAAGATTTTTCAGTCACAGAGGAAACCTTGAAAGGCTCGAGGTTTGACCTTGTGGCTTGGATCACACCCCATGAAATTATTTAGCGCTGTTTCCAGTTCACGTGTATTTTGATACTGACAGTATTTAATATTTTCTAAGTCGTTGTAGCTGATGTCATCTAAGATGTATATGAAAAAAGCTTGGATCAAATCACGTGAAAACCTAGATGTTTTTGTGTGTGGTCTGGTAAACCCACCGCCAATCACGAGCACACGCACAGGAACCCAGGGATGCGCACGCGGCGCGTGTATACGAAGCGGAGTTGAGCCAGACAGTGAGTCACCAGGCCATCGCGCCGTGCATCTCCGAAATAGCTTTGCCGATTCCCGGCTGGCACGGCGCTGGCGTTCTTGAAGCTTTTCAACTTCTCTCCCCTCTCTGCATCAGCGTCTCTTCGTACACTTTGCTCAAGAGTAAATTTCAGTAGCTTCCAGAGCTTTTCCTTGCAACGAGGCCCTCTCAACCCAGCTGGGAAAAAGATTAGGAGGGATGGGGCGTGTCCAACGTTTCATATGGAAGATATTTTTGGACGGGGTGAGGAGAAGGGGCCGTGTGTGCCGGGCGTCTTTATCCGGAGCAGACAAATGGCCTCTGGTATTTCCAGTGGGCTTCGGGCCCCTTTGCCCGGCTTGTCACCGAGGGAGGATCCCCTCACCTTCACAGACAGCGGGCCATGTCGCTCCGCTTCTAATGAAAACGTCCCGTCCAGAAAATACGTCCCCGCGTTGCGTGCCAAAACACAAACCCAGGTCTGGGAGAGTCTTGGTGCCTCAGGGAATTAATCCCTTATGGAAAAGCCTTCCCTACCAGAAATGGTGGAAAATGTAATTTAAGCCATAAAAGGTTCTGAAATAGAGTGAGTTTGGTGTTGACTCCTCCCGAAAAACACCCCGGGAAAGTGACAGGGCCTATGCATCTCCTCGTCGTCCCGGTGGGGAGGCCGCCCCGGACGGCGTCTCTGCAGGTCCCCCACTCAGGCGTGGGGGTGGCCCCGACCGGACGGGGCGGAGGCGGTTCCTGCCCCGGCTCTGACACCCCGCACCTTTGTGCCCCAGCAGAGGCTGCGGCACGAGGCAGGGTGACTCCATGCAGAGCAGGTGCGGAATACCCGAGAACTGACCGTGCGGTGGCTTCTCCGTCTGGTTTTCTGAGCAGCGAGGAAGGTGGTGTCAGGCTTGAGCGGTGATGATTCCGTGAAATAGGTGTGATGTTTTGGGGCTGTCATTTTGTCCCTATTGAGTTTCTCGGACGCCGTCCCAGCGGTTGTAACACAGAAGACTCTTTCAGGCAAGGGACCAGGAAAAGCTGGACGAAGCCTTTGGCTGGTAAGGACATTAAAATTTTTTTAGAGAGAGAACTTGGACGAGGGCGCCTTGAATTTGCATATGCGGTGTCTTAGTCGCCGAGACAACGGGGCCTTTGAAGGGCTCTCTTGGCTGAAGCTGGCGTCACGTGTGAGGAAGCCATGGCCTCGCTTGGCGCCATCTCTGTGCCCGGCACCCTTGGTGTCCCCCGTCGACCCCACAACTGTGCCCGGCAGGTGGGGGACGGTTTCAGCACCCCCATTTTCAAATAC